AGAACGGGAAAAAGAAAGAGTGATTAATATTGAATTATAAATTTTAATATGACAGAACAAGAATTAAAGCAACAAATCACCCAATTAAAAAGACAACTTTATATTTTAAGTTCTAAATTTAGACAGTGTGAAAAGCATGATGAAGACCCTGAGTATACTCAACGATATTTAGCCAGTAAAACTGAATGTCATGATTGTGCGGGGGAGAAGTTGATTGCGAGGGAAAAAGAAACTACTCAACATGCCTAAAAAAGATAAAGAATTATCGCAAAAAGAAGCAAAGGAAGAAACCACTCCTCGCAATCTCTACCAAAAACTCACCCTAATCCAATCCGAAATCAAAGAACTCATCCGCACGGAAGAAAACAAAGGCCAAAAATATAAATTCTTCAACGAACTACAAGTCCTCAACCTATTAAAACCCCTCTTAGAGAAGTATCAACTCACCATCCTCGTGAGTGACACTGAGGATAAAGAATTAATTTATGAAAAAGTAGGTAATATGTATTTAGTTCGCTACCAAAAAAAGTGTTTATTAATTAATAGTGAAAACCCTAATGAACAACTTACTCATTATTTTTGAGCCTTATGGCAGAATAATGACCCGGCTAAAGCCAAAGGTAGTGCAGAAACTTATGCCATGAAATATTTTTTAAGTAAATTATTTTTGATGCCTGTCAAAGATGAGGGGGATCCGGATTATCGGCAAGTGGAGGAGGTGAGTAAAGTTCCTGAAAAGGAGCAAAAACCTCTTCCTACTGAGAAATTAACCACGCAAACTAAAACCATTGGTATGCAACAGGTAGAAAAGTTGATCGACTTATTTAAGCAAAAAACTAAAGGGGATAAAGAAAGGCAAAAAGAAATGCAAATTAAGTTTTTAGAGGATTTGGATAAATTATTGAATAAGCGGGGCATAGAAGGAACCACTGAACCTGGTAATTTTAGAGTGAGATTGGCTGAGTTGAATGAGGAGGAGTATCAGTGGTTGTGGGGGTGGTTGGTGAAGGTGGAAGAGAAGTAAATATGAGTTTTAAACATCCTATTAGCACCCGCAAAAAAAAAAAAAAAAAAA